GAACAATTGGGAATCTCTGGTCTTCCAACTTTGTCAGACATCACACTCACCTGTAGGATTTGGGGGGGCAGATTTCTGGGTCTTACTTAAGAGTTTCTGACTCAGTATATCTAAGGTGGGAAATGAAATTTGCACTTTCAACAATTTCTCAGGTGATACTTGGTGCTGCTGTCCCAGGGATAGTCTTTGAGAATCTCTAGAAGAGGTCAAGTAACCTGCTTACCTTGTGGCAAATGATGATGCAGCAGTAAGTTATTTCTGCAGAGGATAGTGATTAGATAATTTTCTGCCTCTCATTACTCTTTCATTGTCAATTACATGCACAAGAGGATGTTATTCTTCAGTACCCTTGAGTGTGACCTCAGTTAAATTCATATTACATATATTATCACTATAACATTTATAATTTGTTTAATATAAAAAGTTGGCATTTCATACCTAATTTATTTAACATAACATGTAAAATAATTTATTTAACATTATCTTGTGTTTCTGTATTTAATATGCCTTCTACTTTTTTTTTTTAATTTATATAAGATTTATTTATTTATATAAGAACCATGGTACAGGCCAAATGCACGGGAGGGTGAGAGGATTCACCAGAGACAGAGTGGGGAACAGAACAGGTAGACTGACGAAATACACTGCTGAGGGGAGCAGTAGATGAGACAGGAGAGGTCTGCTTTGCAGTGTGGAATTCTCACTGGCCTGCTGGCTGGGATCGAACCTGCGCTGCAGAGGCTGATGCCAGCTTCACAGTGTGATGCTCAGCCACTTGCGCCACCAGGGAGGCCCTTTGCCTTCCACTTTTAAGAGATCTGCAATACCTACATTTGTCACAAGATGGCATCAAAAGGATGTGGATTTTGGTTGAAATTTGATTTTTGAGACTAGATATTGGTATTTTCACTTCAAAAATATTTTCTTAATTATGAAAGTATAATGGGAACATATATTAATGTTATTGTTGAGTAATTCTTTTGGAAATCAATGAACCATGAATCTTAATGTAGTAATGTAAATTTACTATCATATTCTCCTGGAAGGACTTCAGATGAATTTGTTAGCAAACAGCTAGAAGATCTTATTGTGTTATGATTTATAAGGTTTTCTTGTGCAAATTGAAGCTACAGATCTTGCCCCGATGATCTTCAAATTTAATTGGGGAAAAATAAGTATATATGCAATTCAAGGAGAACAAATTAATAAAAAATTATCAAAGTACAATGCTTTATGATATAGACTATACATACAACATGAGCTGGAATAATGGCCAATTAAACAAAATTTTTTTAAAGATTTATTTATGCATACAAGAGCTGGGGTAGAGGCCAGAGATGCGGGGAGGTGGGCTGAGAGGATTCACCAGAGAGAGAGAGGGGGAGCAGAACAGGAGAATCTACTGAAATACACAGCTGAGGGGAGCAGCAGGCGAGACAGGAAACGTCTGCCTCACCATGTGGGTTGCTCCCTGGCTGGCCGGGGATCGAACCTGTGCTGCAGAGACTGCCGATTGCTTCATAGTGCGGTGCTTAACCCCTTGCACCACCAGGGAGGCCCTAAACAAATTTTAAAGTATATGATTTAAACATCAGAAAACACTTGGAATATGAATTAATCTTTTATTTCATGAGTATATATATATTTTTTTTCTGAATAAAAGGATTTTTCAAGAGGGTGAGGATTTTCTGGTGACACAGATATTACTTATAATATTTTTATATTCCTACACTGTGAAAAACATGTATTGAAAATAACATGTAAAATAATGGTGCTTAGGGACTCAGGGGAGGAAGGAAGGGACTTGTTTAATGGGTGCAGAGTTTTGCAAGATGGTATGTTTTGGAGATGCGTCACAACAATGTGAATATTCTTAACACTTCTGAACTGTGCACTTAAAAATGGTAAATATGATGCATTTTTACTGCAAAAAATGTGTCTACTACAAATTATAAGCCATTAATATAACTTTATGGAGAATTAATGCTCCTAACTTAATTTTAGTCTTTAAGAATTACTTAAAAGAAATGAAAGTTCCATCTACAAGTTTGTAGTTAGTGATAGAAGATTAACCTAATGTTAATAAGTCATCTACTAGAAGTTTGACATATACCAGGCACCGTGCTCGAAAATTACTCTATTTCTCATCTTTATTCCTCAAAACAATGTAGGAAAATAAGTTATCACTGCATTTCCCTGTTTTAGCTAAGGAAACTAAGTTTGATAGATATGATGGTTCAGTACTTTGCTGAAGGTTGCAAAATTTCTAATCTTGGTATTGGTATGTAAACCTTAGTCTGTCTAACTTCAAAATAACTTTTCTTTAGCTACAACATATTTAAATAACAAGTAATTAAAATATAAATAAACAAGGTATTTCATGGTATTTCTACTGCTAGTAAACACTATCTCAATTATTCTAACAAATGAAATGAAAGGGTATGTGATTTAATTAATGGTAACAGTTAGCCAGTTTTATGTTTTAACATCAGAAAGGATAACCATATAATTTTTTTGTTGTCTGAGTTGTCTCACTTTTTGTTTCATTTTTTGGAAATACTAATTTCTTTTCCCTATGTATTCACGTGCAGGTTATGTGGGTATGTAATTTGTGCCGAAAACAACAAGAAATCCTCACTAAGTCAGGAGCCTGGTTTTATAATAGTGGATCTAATACACCACAGCAACCTGATCAAAAGGGTCTTCGAGGACTGCGAAATGAGGAGGCACCCCAGGAGAAGAAAGCAAAACTACATGAACAGGCTCAGTTCCAAGGACCCTCAGGTGACTTAACTGTACCTGCAGTGGAGAAAAGTCGATCTCATGGGCTCACAAGACAGGATTCTATTAAAAATGGGTCAGGATTGAAGCACCAAATTGCCAGTGACATAGCTTCAGACAGGTAAACATTTTGTTTAATCTTTAGGTAAACATATCTTCATATAATTTTCATTCCAAAACAAGTGAAAATACATGAAATGTCTAGGCAACAGTGACTTGTCTAAATGTAATGCAAATATCCATATGTTTTATATAAATGCTGGAAGTGATGTTCAAAACTTGAGCTATATAGGTTTGAACATCAAGTTTGATGAAGGAGTCAGGTTATCAGATTTTCTGGAATAAACAAGTGAAATAAAACAGGGAATTTAGATAGGATGTTACTGTCCTAAGAAAGACAAATGGATAATAATGGTAATGAATACAAGATGATTTTAGGATGTTATAGAGAGTGTATGTTGATGGAACTAATTGGAAGTGGGAGTTAATTGAGTGGAGAAGGTTAGTGATGTCTCCCAATGTCTCATTTTAGGTTGAAGGATGAGGTGATTTTCCAAGCAGGTAACAATACAGATGAAAAAGTTTCAGGAGTTTGATATATCCATGGGCTAAAACTCTATTACTAGCATTTGACTCAATTCTATGGGCTTCCTTGTTCTAAGAGTTAGATTTTTAAAGATAATGTTTATGAACTTTATATTCCCGCCTCTGAAAGGGGAAAATGAGAAATTTTCATGGGAAGATTATTTTTCTATTCCATATGGCACTGTTTGAATTGAGAAATTTATAGAGAACTCCGGTTTATGCTATTTCTATCATCTAGAAGTGCTCGATACATTTTTTGTGTGTGTGAACAATTATGAAGTCATGCATTTGAGGAAGAACAAATCTAAATTGTACTTTGAGGATGGTGGGTTCTGATCATTCAGGTCTAACAGGTGAGATAACTGGGGATCACTACCAAATATGTTGCTGTGTCTTGAGATATAGAGAATAATAAAATGATGACTTTGCCAGTACTTTTGAAAAGTAACATAAGTGAAACAGTATAATTCTAACTTTGGGCAAAACAATGGTACTTTAATGTCTGGGATACTGTGAACACATGTCAGTGGGAAATCTCAGGAACCCAAGAATTTTAATGTAGAGGCCTTCTTGGAACCCTGTCTACCTTAAGCATACAAAGATTTGAGTGCTAATAGTTTCTTTGGAAGGCACTTCCAGGCGCCTTTGGTAGGGGATGGGAATAATCCTATAAGAATAAGAACACAATGTTGGGGACATTCAAAGGCAAGTTACCTCATTTGGTAATTCTTTCTCAAATGTAATTGGGATTTAAGGGAGTCCGGATAGAATGACAATTATCCCATAATGGGCAAGGAGTCTGGCATATTGTCCATAATTTTCCTTTGATATTGGTTTAAGGCTCTTTCTGAGGGGTTAAGGGGTTAACCACTGGAATTCACTGGCCAAGCATGTTCTTGTGGTCATAGAGCACTCAGGCAGAGCGTTACAAATACAATAAGAAGACATTGCTATGAAGGGGATGGTGAGTGATAAGGCAGTGTGTGTTGGACATTAACAGTGCCTGCTACACAGGACTTTAGGAACCAAGAAAGTCTGTAAGATTGCAAATGTAATGGTCAGGGTGTCTGAGCTTGGATGAAGAAAAACAGCTGATAAACCAATGGAGGTAGGATATTAAATGAATGAATGAATGAAGGGATAATTAAATAAATTGGATAATGGGAACATAACTCATTCCTCAAAAACTAGATAGCTGCATGATATAGTTTCCTTTGGAGCTCAGAAAGGCAAGATTAGGAAGAAAAAAAGGAAATGCTAAAATACTGGGTCACAAAATAGATTGTTATCCTTTTGAAATGAATATTGGTAGGAAATTGTAAACTTTAAAAATAAATCTGGCAAACTTATGAGTAATTAATTCATCATTGTAAGAAAATTAGAAGCCTATCACTCATCTTTGAAGAAAGCAGTGATAAGAACAAATGCATCTCTTTCAATAGTATCTCTTAATGCTTCTTTCATTGACAAAGTACTAGTTTGAACAAATAGAATCTGACCTGTTGTGGGGAGACAAGATCTGTAGTATTTGTTTTCTTTCACCTGATGCCTGACAGTCATTACTAGTAAATACATACTTTAATGATTCAAAGTGGCCTGTAATTATATCCTTTTTTTCACCCTTACAGGAGTCAAACTGTTGCTTCCTTTTGTTTCTAAGAATTATTTTACTCAGGGAAGAAGTTAAAGTTTAATGCCTAGAAAACAGAACTTATTACATTTCACTATAAATTTTTATTTAGAAAATACTTTCTCTTCAAGCACAATTCAGTTCTTATTATCAGCAAAAAAAACCTTTATTATTATTATTTTTCCAATACAGATTCTATAGTAATTTATTAGGCATATGTCAATGATCCCTTTGAATTCTTTCTCCAAAGAAAGAATGTGTCTTTTATCAGTGTTTTAGTTGGACAGTGAAATGGAGCTACTGAAAGGGAATATAATTGTAATCTAAAAGATTATCACTAATTTGTTTCTTTTATACTGTTCAGAAACTAGTGGCTTCAAAAGGAGCAGCTTTGGTTTAAATCTCTATGGTTTAAATTTAAATCTCTATGGATCTTGAACTATGAGGGGTAGAAAAGTATTTTACGGTTCCTTTTTTTAAGGAGCTTTAATCTTTTCCCTACCTGCTGTAATAGTTTTGATCTGCTTAATGCCATTTTACTTCTTTCACGAGTCTTAGTGTAGAACTTTACACATAGACCCTTAGTATTTATCGAATTATGAATACCAAGTTGACCTTAGACCTTAGCTTGAGTTAATGAGTATTAGAGTATCTTTGAAGGGATACTATGGTATGTTAAAGATATGTGCTGGACACCCTAAAATAAACAGTTATAGGTAATAAATCAACAAAGGAGATAAAATGAAACACCAAGCTGTATCACTAGAAGGCAGAAAGAGTGGGAGAGGAAAGGGAACAAGTAACACATCAGGCTTAATAATGTACCCTAAGGCACAGAGTGTCAGATAGTAAATGCAGTCCCCAAACTAAACTGTCTATAAGAAACGCACTTTAAGTAGGAGAAAATTAGTTAAAAGAATTGAAGATATACCGTGATCATACTATTCATAACCAGGAGAAAGTTGGGTGGTTATATTCAGATCAAAATAGATTTCAGAACAAATAATATTATCAGGAATAAAGAACGACGTTACCTCATATTGTAAACAGACCAGTTAATTAAAAGGATATTATAAACACATACAGGCACACACACAGCTTCAAAATACATGAAGCAAACACAGGTAAAACTAAAAGGACATATAGACATATCCACAATTATAATCAGAGATTTTATTATCTTCCTCTCAATTTATAACTAAAAGAACAAATAGCCAAAAAATCAATAAGGTATCTAAACTTGAACAGGTCAGTGAACTTGACCTAATTGATGTTTATTAGGCAATATACCAAGCAAGAACAGAATATTCATTCTTATTAGGTTACACAGAGCAGTTACCAAGATTGACCTTATTATGGCCATTAAACTATTCTAATTAAATTGAAAGAAATGCATGCAATAAAAAATTTGTCCTCTGATCAAAATGGAATTAAGTTAGAAAAGAGTAATAGAAAGATCTCTGGAGAATTTCCTAACCTTTGAAAACTAAATAACATACTTTAAAATAGCCCACAGATCTAAGAAGAAATCAAAAGAGAACACAGAAATTTAATTGAATTATTGCATTAAAATGAAAACACAACATCAAAATTTATAGGATATTACTAAAACAGTATGAGGGCAGACTTTATAGCACTGGAAATCTTTACTTGATAATAAAAAAGGTTTCAAAAATTGATTTCAGCTTTCACCTTAAGAAACATAGAAAAGCAAAGCAAATTAAACCAAGTAAGAAGAGTAAAGATTAAGAAGGATTAAAACAGAAATCAGTGACACAGAAAATCAATGAAGCCAAAAGCTGATTCTTTGAGAAGATCAATAAAAAATTTTAAGCCTCTAGACAGACTAACCAGGGAAAGAAAGAGAAGATACAAATTACCTATAATATGAACAAAGGGATAATGTCATCACTCATCAATGATATTTAAGTGCTGATGTTTTGAAAAGTATTATGCCTATAAAACCAACAATTTAGATGAACTTGACAAATTCCTTGAAAAACACAAATTAAAAAAAAAACACAAATTATCAAAATTCATTCCAGAAGAAATAAATAGTTTGAATAGCATTTTATGTACTAAAGACATTACATTTGTGTCAAAAATCTTCCCAGAAATAAAACTACAATCCTAATGATATGACGAGTATATTCTAATTAGACTGTTAAGGAAGACATGATGCTATTTAACTATTCAAGAAAATTGAAGAGAGACTGTTTCCTAATTTCTATTCACCAATATTTCTTTGATACCAAAACCAAGACTTACAAAGAAAGAAAAGCCCCTACAGAGCAACATCCCTCGTAAATAAAGATGCAGAGACTCTAAACATATTTAGCAAATTGAATCATCAATATGTAAATAGGACAATACATGATGACCAAGTGCTTTTTATCTCAGGATGGTGGAATTAGTTTAACATTTGAAAATCATGATAATTTATCATTTTAAGAAAATAAGAAAATCATATTATTTCAATAAAGAAAAAATAACTTGGTAAGTGCCAGTATTTATTTTTAGTAAAAATTCTCAGCAAATTAGGAATAGAGAGGAATTTCCACAGTCTGATCAAAGTCTTCTATGACTATTCTGTAACTGACATCAAATTTATTTATTTATTTTAAAAGATCTTATTTATTTTTGTGTAGAAGAGCTGGGGTGTAGGCCAGAGGTGTGGTAGATGAAATTGTAACACAAAGTTCCTGAGGGAACTTTCTAGAGTGATGGAAATGATCTGTACCTTGACAGGGATATAGATTATTGCTTGTATATATTTGTTAATAGCTATTGTAGTGTTACATTTAAGATCTATATGCTTTTTACTGGATGTAAATTATACTTTAATAAGACATTAAGAGGGAATTATGTGCATATTTGCTACATTAAAATTGCAAAATTTCTTCCCA